GCTGCTGGACATCTCCAAGTATCACAGCTGAGGAAGCATGCAGCTCCTTCCCACCTCACCCCACACTACCCTGACAGACTGCAAAGCTTGGAGTCCTTTGGTGCTCCCTCACTTTAAAATGCTCTCAAACACTTTGGTCTAGTCACAAGCCTCCAACAACAGCAGCTCTGAGGAATCTCTCTGAACAGAGCACTCCCTATAGTCCCTCAGTGGCCAGCGTGGCACAAGCACAACAGAAGAAACCAAGTGTACAAGCTGCATTCTTGTGGTGAAATCAGGCAGGGATCTATTATCCTCCCAACAGATCCATGCTCTGGTAGTTTTATGCCCAACAGAAACAGTACTTCTAAAAGCAATGACAACAGGATTATGAGTTTCTTACGGCACTGATTGTGGTTCCTGCAAGAATTGCTAGTTTCCTCTGGTTACTGTTCAGTATCCACTGCAGGTTCAGAGTGAGCAGGTTAGTTATGTCTGGGACTGTACTACAAAAGCACTTCTGTTTTAAATTCAGATTAAGAGATTTGAGAGACTGACTGTGCTATTTGTGACTCCTAAACAGCATGAGGTTATTAGTAAAGAATAAAATAGTCAAAGATAAATGTGCTCAAGCAACAGCCCAGCACAGCTATTCTTGCCTAATACAAGAGCTCTTCAACAACTCAGAACAATCTGATCCTCCCAGTCTCTAGGGCATCCAAATGTCCCTGCTATTCCAAGCTGCTCTGCTGAGCAGGCTGCCAGTGCTGGAAATCAGTCAAAACTGCACCAACAGATTGCTTTTCTTTTCCCTTCACAATACACTTTTGACCAGTTTCTATCAAACTACAGCCAAGCTATAGAGACTGGTTCTCCATAAGCCTATGGAAGGCAGGGAACACATTATTTTCCATTCTGAAAGCAACAAATGCAAAAGGAACAGAGGAGTGGGATTTCTAGGCAGCCCCTAGTGCAGACAGCCCTGAATTGTGTCCTCCCAGCTGAGACATAGGAACCTACTGCAAAAACCACCCAGTCACCCCAGAGGATTTCCAGAAGTGAAAGCAGCCAGGGAAGGGGAAGGATGAATGGGCTCTGAGCAGGTCATCAGTGCACCAGGAAGGGGAAGAGCACCTGACTGCAACTCCTGAAGCATCCAGGTACACCCAACACCCTTCCTTACACACACAGGATGCCTCATCCAGGAGCATCCTCCTGCATCAATCCTGCATCAGAGCAGCAGCTCTGCAGACACACACTGCTCACACAACCTGTGTCAAGCCCTGCCCAATGGCTCGTGCTGGCTCTCAGCAATGACATTTGTGCATCCTTGGGCTGATGGGATTTTCCCACCTTTACACCTTGAGCTTCGCCCCTCATGTTTCTGTGCCCATGACCTAACTCATGAGTATTGAGGTTTAAAGAGATACCACCTTCTGCACAAGTGACCCTTTTCAAGTGCTCACCTGATTCCTTTGTCTCCCCATGAGCAGCACGCAGAGAACATACAACACCTCCAGCTTATACATGATCTCGTGCATAATCTTCATGGGCTGTGGAAGCTGTGCTCGTGTCGAGGTGTTGGCCAAGCCACTCTCATCTGATGACTCTGAACAAGATGGCAAAGATGTAAGCCTGAGGCAGCTTCAACAGCAAAGGATTTGTAGCAGTTATTACTTGTACACTGAAACACTGCAGGTGTAAAACCAGCACATCTGCTTGAATCTTAACTAAAAGTAGTGCCATGCAGCGAAGAACCAACTTAAATTAATTGCTACGGAATAGAAAATTAGAGCTGCAATAAAACAAAATTAGATTTCTTAAAATTATTTATTTTTTCCATGGATGAAGGGCATCATCTACCTAAAATAAGAAGGATCACCTCTATGAATTAGTAGACTACTGCACCAGAAAGGACATGGCAGAAGAGGTATTAAAAGTAGGGGTGAGATTATCAGAAGCATTTACTATCTGTCTGTTCTCATTTCATACCTCAGCATCAGTATACTAGAGCCCTGTCTAGAATTATACTGCGAAGAGCAGAAAGAGAATATAACAAGCCATGTCAGGGGGTTGGAACTAGATGACCTTAAGGTCCTTTCCAACCCAAACCATTCTATGTTTGCAAGATAAAAATCATGAGTGACACAGAGAAAGTAAATAAGGACATAGTGAAACCTGCAGGTTGCAGTTCAAAAAGGAGTTAGCTCTTTACACAAAACATAACTAAGGGCTGAACTGTCCTGCCTCAGGACAGCATGAATGTTTGTTGAACCCATCTGAAGAAACAGTAACTATGCAGACACACAAAGGAAGGAAACCAGCAAAGGCACAACAGTGCAGATGTCACCTCTGACTCAGAGTCCCCAAGCCACAAGCCACTGGGGACTGAGGCAGTGTTCTGGGAATGTGCATCTGGGTTTGCTTGCTGGTGTTGTGGGTCATGACTGGGCATGTTCCACCTCAGCCTTGTGAATTCTGCTCCAAACACCAAGTGCTCTCTGGTTTCACAGAATCCCAGACTGGTTTGGGTTGGAAGGGACCTTAAAGCTCAACCAGTTCCAACCCCCTGCCATGGTCAGGGACACCTTCCACTAGAGCAGGTTGCTCCAAGCCCTTGTGTCCAACCTGGCCTTGAACACTGCCAGGGATGGGGCAGCCACAGCTTCTCTGGGCACCTTGTGCCAGCGCCTCAGCACCCTCACAGGGAAGAGCTTCTGCCTCAGAGCTCATCTCAATCTTCCTTCTGGCAGGTTAAAGCCATTCCCCCCATTGTTCTTTCCACCAAGCTGATGTGTATAAAGCTATATGCAAGATGCTGCTATTCACTTATTTCATGAGGGGTTTTGTGTATTTTCAGAAGTTCTAATAATTAATTGCTACAAAATTAATGAAGCTGGGTAAGAAGAAAGTTTTCTAAAGCAGCACAGTAGCAAAGATTTAGGTATCAACATTTGGGGACCATTCTCATGATGTTATCAAGTACTTGGAGTTCTCCAAGACATACACTGGAGTTTTGTAATACTGAAGGGTGAAGAAACAAACCCCATGTTTACTTCAAAGCATTTTCTAAGGCTGTATTAACACTTCCACACACTCAACCTGGAACAATTATTTTATTTCCTAATTAATTAACTTAATTTTCCTGGCACTACCTTTCCTTTTAAAAGAAGGGATCACTTGCTTGTAATGAAGTATTTGGACCTAAAGCCATCAGCGTAAGTTTTAGAGCAAAATGCTGGTGAGGTCACTTCCCTCAGGCATGTGTTATTTTTGTCACTCCAGGGGAGTTCAGTGCTGAGGATGTACAGTGTCACAGAGTTATTTAGGCATGCAAAGGGCACATTTCCTTCTGCTAACTTTAGTTCATGAAAAAAATAAACAGTGCTACATGAAGACAAAACATGAGTCAGATCTAAATGCTGAGCTGGTGGTTTTCCAAGGAAGAAAAGGGGAATCAAAGGAAAAGCAACACATGGCAAACACTGTAGAAGGTTAAGGTATGCAGCAGCTAATGGTGGCTAGAGGAATGCAAGCCAGATACCTGTACTGCTCTGCTCTGCCTCTTCATTTGCCACTCTCATCAGTGTATCAAGCACTAGTGCATTGTCCAGCCCCAGCCAGGTGTACCATTCTTCCAACTCCTGGAGGAAGCTAGAAGTACCTGTTGTTTCAGACACCTTCCTTGTTGCCAGTTTGCACAATCGCTCAATGAAGCCTGGAATATTCAGAAGTGTAGCTGAAAAGAAGAAATTAAAAGTATTTATTATAATTGAAAATAACCAACACAACACTCGTCACATCCTCTATACCACAGGGTACCAAAACATCTCCATTAGTAATACGGAAGAGTACAGAGAAACTAATTCCATCTGGTTAAAAAGATGCAAAGATGGAAGAATTCAGTGCACTCTGCTATTAAGGACTGGGTGTACATACCCTAGGAGTAATTCAATCAGTGTTATACTGGTTTGTGTATCTAGTTCTACCCTACTCTAACTGCTTGTTTCCAGCTGGCACTGCTGGTTTCCAGTCCCCAGTGAGTCAATACCAAGGAACTTACCTGGCTGAAAATCAAGCTGGCAGAAATAAGGCAGCAGCCCTTGGAAGGGGCATCTCCACCTCCCCTTCCCTCTGTTGTGTGATGCTACCTCCTTCCTTTACCTCCTGTGGTGTGTTTCATTGCACACTGAACCAGCTCACTTCAGTAGCTGGGTAGGAAGCTGTTACCTTTTTAAGTATGGTTGCTAGAATTAGTTTTTCATGAAGCAAACCAGATGCGAAACACATGACAGCAGCCCCAAGTTAGAGGGTGTTAACTGTGGAACTGCACCCTCAGAAACAGCAGTTCAAGGACAGAAGTCACTGGTCTGCAAAACGTTTGGGGAGATGCATTTTGTCCTAAAGTTTTCAAAGAATAACTGAATTACAGCCCTTTTTGTTACAGATACATGGCTGAGCCTTCACTTCACACTGCAGAAGCAACTAGAAAAGGACTATGGGAAAGAGGTGAGATTCTGCCTGCTGGTACCACCTCTAAAAGGAGCAGCTCCCATATAATTTTAACATAGAATATGCTTCACAGTCTTAGATACAGTGCAATTAGCAAACAAAAATTGATTAAACACTTGCTTGGCTAAGTTCAGCTCTGTAGGATCCAAGCTTATTCAGTTAACTAAACTTCATACCCACATCTATGTGTACTTGTCCACTGCTCTTTAAAAGCAAGCTCTGGTGATCACAAGGCAGAAGACAATACAAACCCCTTTAAAGCTTCTCTCAGTTTCTGCTGGGATACATCACATATCTGTCTTTCCCTGGATGTTGTAGAGGTGGCAGCTGTTACAAATGAAGCTTTGCTGTTCATGCCTAACACAAAACATTGGAAGACAGGAAAACCAGCTCCAAAACCCCTTTTTCCACTTCCCAAAATTGCTTGGCATGGGCCTATGCAAACATCTGCTTCAGAAGCACAAAAGTAGAATTAAAAAAACCAGATTCTACATTTGAGGGTACTTTAATTTACATCTCAAATTCATACTCATCCTTCTAGGCAAGACTTCCACATCTGAAGGACTCAGCAAAATAGGGAAACCAGTCCTGTGCCCAAAGTTAAAGCTGATACTAGACCCACAGATTTCCAAGTCTGCTGTGCTAAAGGGGGGCAACATGATTAATATTAAACATACTTTTCTTGTTGATAGAGACAAGACATCCTGCTCAGGATAAGGTCAGATAAAAGCAGAGAAGGAATTACTCCAACAGCAACCATGCTGAATGCAGTTTTAGTTCAGGAATTCCTATTTTGAGGAGGACATGGAACTACTGAGAGTTGATAAAGGGAAGGCATTGAGGGATAGAAAACAAACCCAATTATTTTAAGCCATTCAGTTCATCAGAGAGGGCTGAAATGACAGAAGTTAACTCACCTATTTACCAACATTCCATGAAACCAAAAGCTACAAAGGAAGTTTCATTACCAGAAAAGATTGTTTCCAGGAAACTGCTTGAGGAAAGAGAATAAATACAAATGCTTTGCAAGACAGACTGCTTACAGTATCCTCTGGAAACACACACTACAGATGGGACAGAGGGAAACTTTACACTGTTGAGATTCTTTTGTGTTTGTTCCCAGTGTAACCATTACCTTGATTAATTTCAGCTCGAGAAGGACCCAGGTTTTTTTTCTGCTGGGCATTTTTGGCAAGCAGTGTGTGCTTGTCATCACTCCCTGGGTCAAGTTCTGAAATGGTGACAGCAAGGATCCTGCAGAAGTTCGCAAGCTGCTGCTGATCAAAACTGGACACCAGGCTCGCAAGATTGGGAATATCATCCAGTTGGATCATTTCCTGGAGGAGGCAACATCAACAGAGTAAGCCACACGTGATAAGGTGGCCATGGAGCTGTTGGAGCAAGTCCAGAGGAGGCCACAAGGATGATAAGGGGCTGGAGCACCTCCCATACGGAGACAGGCTGAGAAAGTTGGGGCTGTTCAGCCTGGAGAAGAGAAGCTGTGTGGAGACCTCAGAGCAGCCTTCAGTATCCAACCCTCTCCACAAACTGTACGTAGACATTTCATTCAGGGTTTTCCCAGGGTTACACTCACCCCCCACTATCCTCTGCAAGCTCTGCAACAGCATTGCTGGTATGATACCACATGCATCACTTGGCTGCTGTAGGAAATGTGACTGAAGTTAATGATCACTGTTAACAGGCAGGTTTCAAACAAGCTACAAGAGGTAAGGATGCCTCCTCAGAGGATTATCTTCAGCAACTCAGAGACAGATGTCTTTCCTGGCCTGAAAAACCATGCAAGGAAAGAAACCAGCAACTAACCTTTTTAACTCCCAGGATATCTTCAATGAGCGTTGCAGTTTGTAGGAATGTCTTTTTGTTTGTCATCAGTGTAAACAGGAACAACACAAAGTCGTTTCTTTCTGCCAATCGCCTTGTGACTCCTTCCGTCTAGAGAGGAGCAAATGCACACACAGACCCAAAGTCAGAGCCCTCCTTGAGAAGTCATCTGTTACGAGCACATGCAGGACAGTTTAACAGATGATGTGTTATTGAACCTGCTACCCCGGAAGCCAGGAAACATTGTGTTTATGGTGACCAAAACTAACCCTTGTCCTTGTCTGAAGCTAATATGCAAAAACAACAGGCTCCATGATGAGAGGCTTCTTCTCAAGGCAGTTGTTTACTTGCCTGAATCAAAAGGAAACATTACATGCCTAGAAATACCTCAGAGAGGCCTCTGGTTCCCAATGCAAACCGTAACCAGCTCCATCCGATGGTATGTAAGCACAACCCAGATTGCTGCCAGCACTGCTCCCAGCTTGGCAGAGCCTGAGCAACCAGAATCAAGCACTGGCCTCACTGAACTCAGTGATGAACCCAAGTTCATGCTTTTCCATGACTTTTGGATTCATCATTGAGTTCATTAAGGTCAGCTTTCATGCTCTGATCTCTGCTGAAAGCACAGCCAGTCTTTCTTGGTATTAAACGTAACTTAAAGCTACATCCTTACCACTTGCAAAGCTGTCTGTTAAATATAACTGACACATCACCAGTGCTCACAGATCTAGATACTTCCTGAAGATTTACACATAAGCCTAAGAACAGTTAATATTGCACTGACATTTCTGTGATCCTAAATGCTTCTTATTCAAGAGAATAGTTATACTGAATTAAAACAGCTATTCTATACATTGCAAACGTGTTTCTTAGCATATTGTGCTATTCACTGTTTGCAAAAGTTGCACTATATGCAGTCAATCATCATGTCAGTCAGGAAAAGAGTATTCCCTCTCTTCCCACTCCCATGTGCACACATAGCGAGAACATGATCTACTAAGGCTCCGGCTCTTGAGACCAGGTTGATATCTTTGGAAAAGCTCCAAGCCAGTAACTGCCTTTTCTTAAGTTTCTGCTCCACAGTGCTCCCTGGGTTATGCCATAATGAAATGTGGGATTAACGTAATCCTGAGGATGTTCCCTGCATGCATCATCCAAGGCATGTGCCTTTAGCTTCAGCATTTTAAAGGCAAGGAATTGTAACAGGCCTTTAACCCAGCATCTTCCTTAACACTGATCTGCAATCAACCAAACTGAATATTCAGCACATGAAGGAGGAGCAGAAGCCAACTTAAAACACTTTGCCAGCACCATCACTGAACAAGACGAGTTAGCAGGCATCCATTCCCAGCTGCAAATTTCAGGTTTGAATACAACATGGCTTTCCTATGGAAACATGGACACAAAGAGGCAAACAAGAGGATTTAAACTAAAATGTGGTTAAGGACACAGAAATAGAATAACACATCAAAATAGAAGGTGATCCTATATTTAGCTGAAGGAATTTTAAGTTTGAGTTTCAAAGAATGTGTATGTTTTCTTATCAAGTGGCACATGTAAAACATGACCAGCAGAAAACACAGCAGTGGTACTTACACATATACATGTGTTGTACAGTATGCTTAAACAGTCCTTGATGAGGTCATCACTTACTGCAAAGGAGAACAGAGACACTCAATAGCTACGTGCTGCTGAGGAACACCAATGTTCACCATAGTGACAACAACAGCTATCCAACAGTGAGAATTTCAAGCTAACTCCTAACTCAGATTGTAAGTACAAATGCTTTGGAGGATGGAAAGTAGAGAAAGAAACACTCTATACCTGACCTGTTCATATGGTTTCTTCCCAAGCTCCTCTTGGCACTGCCTAAGACCGCAAAGATGTACTGTGGTTTAGAGCACTTCTTAGTGACACACAAAAGAAAATGATATGGGTGTAAACAGTATTTTAGGAAACATATCATAGATCAATTCAAAATCTGTCAATATGAGAAACTCCCTAGATATGTATTAGTTCCAATTATTAAGCACGGAGGGAGTTTTCTCCACACAGCATCAGGAATTCAAAGCAGAGCTTTCAATCTCATTTACTCCAGCATTTTAATATTCCAAGTATGTTTTCAGTACAGACATACAACAGTTACCTCCAGCTGAAATTCAGGTTACTTCACCTTTGAAACTCCCTGGCTGCTGGGCACGGAGTGTACCATGATATTTCCTTTGCTCAGAAGGGTTCAGGGAACCAGAATGACAGACAGGAGAAAGGAAAACACTAAACCAAAGCTGCTCCAGTGGGAAAGTTGTGCTGAAACTACTGCACCCCACTGGCAAGTTCTCCTTCCGGCAATCTGGAAACTGGTTACTATGCCTAGGTCAGGAAAACAGCATCATTTTCATTATCTCACAATCTCTGTACCTCCTATCACATCAGTGATGTTTTATGGATTATTAATAACTGTTAACAGCAGCTACAGCCACAATAACAATGAAAGTTTCCACTGACTGCAGATTAACTGCACTGAGGGATGTTATGCTGAGTGCATGAATGCACTGAGCTATGCTTTACAACAGGTGACTATCCTAAATCCCACCATGAATCAGAACTACAGAGAACAAAGAAATCAATAATTCATTTAGGAACAGGAAATCACTGCTATGGGAACAGAGAAACAGAAGAATTTCTGTCTGAATAAGGACAGAAGGCAAGATAAATTACTACTTACTACTTAAAATAGATAAATTACTACTTACTTTTTTATCATTTACTTACTTTTCTGTTTCTTTTTCTGTGTGATAAGAGTTGGTCTCATAAGAATTTCTATTAAAAGCTGTAGAAACAAGAGAAAGTATTAAGGGAATAATCATTGATACACAAATAACCAATTCATCTGTCAGTGACAAATCCAAACTTAGTCCTGTCTCTGCTGAAGTCACAGAGGTGAATACTGGCAGCTCTACAATCAAAGCCCACTCATGTCAAAGTCACCTTGACAAAAAATAGTTGCATTTACCTTAAAGAAATAACAACAGTTGTATAGGACAATCTTCCACTGGCAAGTTTAGTTTAGTGTGTGGTGTCCCTGCTCATGGCAGGGGGGTTGGAACTAGATGATCTTAAGGTCCTTTCCAACCCTAACTATTCTATGATTTGAGCTGTAAAGAGTGTAATTTCACATGCATCAAGATAACAAAGATGGCTATCACACATCTCCCAGAATAATGAGTCTCTACCAATCACCTGCAAGAGATGCAAATTTAGCATCCCAAAGTGTTGCTGGGTTTCAGAATACATTCCTGGCCCAGACATAACCGAACTCGGTTGCTCCATGTTTTAAACTCACCACCAAAGAGGAAGCCACTGCTTCTGTGCATGCACCTCGTGTGTGCTGAACATCCACATTTACAGAGAAGTGAAGTATTACTTTCCTTTCTATGCCAGGAATGTAACAGTCAGCTTTCCAAGACTAGGGCTATGGTTCTGATAGTAGAGGTTCAGATAGTCCAAGGTACAGAACTGACCTTTAGCTGTTCTAGCAGTTTATTTCAAAATGAGATTAACCCCTGGAAGGGACTGATGATTTCTGCAAGATGCATTGCAAAAAACTCCCTAGTTTTAAAATTCAATTTAGAATCAAGAGCAACGTAGGCATCACCTGGCTGAGTCATGCCAACTGGGAACATACTTGTATTTTACAACCTACTCTCTTTACTTGTCCCAGTTTAACTTGATCTTTTAATGAACCACCTACCCAGACACAGAGGAAAACACCTGATAACACTGGAGGCACTGCCCATTTTAAGCACTGACAAATAAATGAACAGGCAACTTTAAAGATGTTCTGGGTTCAGCTGTAACAGTTGTTTATCTTCCCAGTAGCTGGTGCAGTGCTGTGTGTTGGCTTTAGTCTGAGAACAATGCTGGTAACACACTGATGGTTTAGCTGATGCACAGTAGTACGCACCCTGATCAAGGACTTTTCAGTCTCCTGCTCTGTCATGAGAGGGGCACAAGAAGCAAGGAGGGAGCAGAGCCAGGACACCTGACCCAAAATAGCCAAAGGGGTATTCCATACCACAGCACTTCATGCCCAGTATAGAGACTGGGGAGAGTCACCTGGAAGGCCCAGATCTCTGCTTGGGTCAGGCTGGGTATCGGTCAGTGGGTGCTGAACAATTGTGTTTTCTGAGCATTCATTTATTCTCTTGTTGTTTCCCGTTATCATTACTGTTGGTATTCTTTCTATTATCACAGTATACTCATATCTCAGTATTAATTTGATTCTCCTCCCCACTCACCCCTGGGGAAAAGGGGGAGGTGAGTGACTGAAAGGTGCTGCACTACTGGCTGGGCTTAAACCACCACAAAAGAGGAATATACACTTTATAGAATCCTGGACTGGTTTGGGTTGGAAGGGACCTTAAGATCACCCAGATCTAACCTTCTGCCATGGACACCTTCCACTAGACCATGTCATCCAAGACGCCGTCCAACCTGGCCTTGAACACTGCCAGGGATGGGGCAGCCACAGCTTCTCTGGGCACCCTGTGCCAGGGCAGAAGAAGAAAGGGAGCTGTAAGATCTTATTTCTTGGAATGGGGCTGCATTCAGATCCAAGCTCCATGAGGCTCCTGTATCAGTTCATGTGTTTGTACTCTTGGGTAGTATTTTGCATTCATATGAAGGCAGGAGACACAAACGTGCTGTCTTGATGCAAAGGCTGTCAGTATCCAAAAATATTTTAAGGAGTCTCCTGTCACACATTATAGCATACAGAGCACACTGCAGATTTAGTTTCCTTCAAAGTCACTCATGCTTCACAACTCAAAGTGCAACTGCAACGTGGAATCAGCACATGGTATACATAGAACCAGCAGATTACGCTCCTTCCCTTTCAAACCCAGCAGATTATGCTCCTTCCCTTTCAAAAACACATAAAGCTGGCTTCTACAACTGCCTTTAACTGCATTAAACCCACTTGTATCAGCCAAATCTCTGGCCATAGTGCCAGGTAATTAAAGGGTAGCTGATACTCCCCATCTCCAGCCCAAGTTAAAAAAAAACAAACCAAAACCAGCTGACAGGATACCAGCAATTAAGCCAGTACTGATTTCAAAACAACATAACCTAAATGTAAGTTTTACTTAAGTAAAGGTATGCTAAGAGAGAAGTAGCAAAGATAATGTTTAGTTAGACTGAAAAAATAAAAGGGGGGTGCCAACTGGTTCACTGGAAAACACATCTAATGAAGTCTAATGAAAGTAGAAATCCCACAGTCTGTCACCATTCAATTGAGCAAATGGGTATTTGTATAATGTTGAATAAAGATAAAACTACAGAATGTCTCCAGAAACCTTGGAGGTCTGTTTAAAATCTTTTCCATAGAGGAAGCAGTCCCTTATAGCATTCCAGCTATAAACATAGACAACCTGGCTAAAGGAGGGCACCAGTGTGCTTAAAGAACCACCACACACCCTTCAGGGGCAAGGGAAAAGCTCAGTGCTCTCATAGCAACTGTAGTAATCTCACAGCTAGAAAGCATTTGAAACTGTTTGCACTGAGAACATAGAGAGTGCCTGAAGAAACAGCCAGGTCTTCTATATCATAAAAGAAAAAGCACCTCACTTTTGATGATGGAATACCTCCGAAAATAGGCCCTTTTCACATTTTGATTAACAGAAATGGGCACAATTCTAATGTTTAACATCAAATCAGTAAAGTCATTTTACAGCTTCTATTTAGAAGCTTCAAAGGTCTCAAAGACCTCACGGATTTCTCGGTGCTACAACTGTCATGCAGAAATCTTTTGATATTCCTGAAAAAACACTTACATCGACTCCTCCAAATAAGTCAAACGTGTATGTATTTGGGAAAGTGGACTCTTGAGCAGCTTTTTTATCTTCTGTAACAGATGCCACTGCTTCCATTGAAAGAAGTGGGGAAATTTCCTGTATGCAAAAGAAGGTTCAAAAAGAAAACTGGTGATGAGTATAAGCCAAATGTCTCCAACTACCTGTGTGATCTACTGACTGATCCATGACACATTCCCAGCTCTCACCTAGTAGCCAACTGACAGATATTATCATACAAACAGTAAATACTCTAGAAGATAATCACAGTAGACTTTAAAGAAAGCAACAACAAAATAATCCCCAGCTTTCAGGAAAAACAGTGTAGACACAGTACCTTTAAGATGCTTTGGCACTGGGAGAAATCACTGTTTGGGTGGCTATGTTCATACAGCTTCTGCAGCAGCAAGGGAATGCCACTCCATTTTGCTTGTTTATCTCTTTCCTTTAGCAAGGCCTCTGTGATCTGCAACAAAGGAAGCACAGAATTTCCATGTATCAAATGCTTCATAACCAGGAAAACAACATTATCACCTCCCCAAAATGTCAGTATCAGAATATCACACAAAGAAGTTTATTGTACAGAATACCATCACAAATCCTGTGCCTTCTTCCATGCAGCATTTACCCAGGACTGACAGCAGCAGAATTTTAGAGATGGTCAAAGTATTTTGAGCAGGAGGGGGCTAAAAGCAGATGTTATCATTGAGAGTACTTCATCTCATGCCATATTTTTACACTGATCATAGAGTTTAAAATGGGAACACATTAGAGTCTGAATAATTCCATTGGTAGAACTCCACTTGACAGGTCAGTGGAAGAGGAAATGAGTGCCCTTGACACTATCAAGAATTGCACCACTACTTAGGAGGACAGAACACTGAAGATGGAAAGACTTCATTACTCATTACATTCAGCTTGTAATGAGTATTTCCCCAGCTAAGTCCCTGAAGCCATTACTGGTCATAGCAATGACCCAAAACACGAAGATTTACAAACAGGCTCCAGAAGAACGTATCAAAGATCCAGTAAAAGTTTCCTCTGTGGTCTGGTTATGAACAGAGACCAACAACCAATTCTGTAGAACAACACTGGCATTATCCTCTGGGAAGCAGCCTGCAACCAACCCCTTAGTGTTTGCTGCTACATTTGTGCAAACTTGCTCCAATTTTCCTTCTTCTCCCTAAAACGTATAAAAAAATTCTTAATATTCACCACTATTCTTTAAAATTAGGAAGAAAACAAAAAAGTAGCAGCACAAAACTAATAAACATTCTGCTTAGAATCCACAAAAGCTGTTTGGAAGCTTGACCACTGCCAGGTTACTGCCAGCAGATGCTGTGAAGGAGGAGCTCTTCATTAAAGTTCACCATGCAGGCAGGCAGCGAGAGTTACAGCAGGATTTCTGGCTGGATTTACGTAATTTTTATATGCCCTCCAAATAAAGAACAAACCCAAAGGAAACTCCAATCCTCAGGTCAGCCACACTACATCTCAATGCAACACTTGTGGAGCTTCTCTTACTCCAAGCCTAAACCTCTAAGTTTCTCATTCTGCGTAAATCACTCCCCAACTTTTCTGTGTTTAACTTCATAGAATGGGTTGGGTTGGAAAGGACCTTAAAGCTCAACCAGTTCCAACCCCCTGTCATGGGCAGGGACACCTCATACTAAACCATGTCACGAAGGCTCTGTCCAACCTGGCCTTGAACACTGCCATGAATGAGGCATTTCCCACTTTTCCGGGCACCCTGTGCCAGCACCTTAGCACCCTCACAGGGAAGAGCTTCTGCCTTAGATGTAACCAAAATCTCCTGTTTCAGTTTGAACCCATCACCCCTTGTCCTGTCACTCCAGTCCCTGATGAAGGTCACTATCCAGCATCCTTGTAGCCCCCTTCAGACACTGGAAGCTGCTCTGAGGTCTCCACGCAGCTTCTCTTCTCCAGGCTGAACAGCCTCAATGTTCTCAGCCTGCCTCTATGCAGGAGCTACACCAGCCCCTGATCATCCTCATAGCCTCCTGTGGACTCGCTCCAACAGCTCCATGTCCTCCTCATGTTGAGGACACCAGAACTGCAGCCAGTGCTGCAAGGGGGGGTCTCACAAGAGCAGAGGGGCAGGATCCCCTCCTTCAACCTGCTGTCACGCTTCTTACTTGCATTGTTTCCCTTCAGCCTCCTTGGATATTGACTGTTAATAGTTAACAGCCAGGAAAGCTTGCTGCTTATTGTTTCAGCCAAGACATCCTCCTCAGATACACCTCAGTGTACAGTTCCAAAAGGTCACTGCATTTCAGATTAGACAATTATATACAAATATACTCCAATTTCTGACTGAGAATTTAACCCTTTTCTCTGCTTGTTAGACACCACACAGGAAGACCAGAAAACTGGTGCAAGCACATGAAACCTCAGACTGGCAATATTAGCTGCTATGGGTCCTTCCTCTAAGCTTCCCAGATACTTATGGTTCTTTTCCTGATGAGGCCTTCAAGGCTCTTGAATTATCAAGTTTTCTTACTACAGGGGGTGACTGAAGCAGCATGAGCAAACCTGGGACATAAAACTCTCCAGTTTTTAACTCTTCTCTGCTTTGACATCTGAATCGGAGCAATGAACCAGCACTGCTAGAGAATGACAAAATTCCTTCTGAGGAGGCCATTCACAGGCAGGACAAACCCAGAAAGTCAAGTGGCTTCTCACTGTTTGTCCTGCAGGCAATGGGTCAGCTCCTTTGAGGTCACAGATTTCCATTTCTCCTTGTAACACCCAGCACAGGGATGAAGAGGAGCTCCAGCACTGCCTATCTCAGGTGTGGGAGGAGCACACAGCCCCATGAGTGGCAGGAACCGGATTCACTGCTAGGTAAAGTGCAAAGAACACGCAGCAAAATGCCAGGCAAAGAATCCAACTCTTCAGCTCCAGCTGATGTGGAAGATAACGCAGGCAAAGATGATGTGCATGGGCTGCCATCACGGGTTCCAGTAGCACAGTGGAGAATTCGGCATCTAAGTGCTCTCAGAAACAGCCAAAACCCCTTTACCCATGTTAAAACCTTGTCCTGGACTTAATACTCCATTTGTTAATCACATGTATGCTTCTTGGTTTGGGCAGGATCCATCTCCATTCCCATCTCTGTACTAGCAGGTCTTCCTCTCCCTGTGTTGGACTCCAAAGCGGCCGCAGAAACCTTTCAGAACTGAATTCTGACAGAATGAAGCAAATGTTTCCTTGCTCTCATCTTCCTTGAACTGCTTTCAAAACAAAGTTTTCTTTCTATTATTTAATACATGCCTTTGGTTTCCCTGCAAGCTCCAGCTTGCGGCCCCTGTTCTGTATTTATGAGACTACCCTGGCTCTGACTATTTCCATTGTGGCGGGGTGGCATCTGCCAATGCAAGATTTTGCATTCTGTGGAGGGATTAAAATTGAATTAGATTCTATGGAGCTGTCTGTCTTCACAACCATTTTGGTTAAGAACTATCTCCTGATTTCTGGAATAGCCTATAAATGAAAACTGTTCACTAGATGCTAAGGGGGTTTCCTTCTTGTTCTTTTTGGGCAGACATTATTGAATGGTCATCAAAATTAGCACTGGGTCTTTGGGGGCCCCTTTCCCTTGGTCTCATCCAAGCAGGATAAGTGCAATGCAGCACTGATTTCTCATACGTTTTCTTCATTCACTGACTAGCTCTGGATAAAATAGCTGAAATCTTGCACATGAAGCTTGAGAAGTCACATACTCTCTAGCAAGAAGAAAAGGTTGCGAAAGCCCAGCTGGATATGGCATCAATGAAAAGGCAGAAGCCAACCTAACCGATGGTTGCTGGGGTTAGGAACCATCACACATTCCTGGCATTAGGAGATGACAGAGTAAGCACCAATTCCTGGGAAAACAAAAGGACCAGCGTCAAAACTTCCCTTCCCTGGTACAGCAACCAAACTGGTACAAACACCAAGCTCCACACAGTCATTTCTCAGAAGTTTGCAGTAACACATCCAAGTTTTGAATCACAAACTAAGAAAGACGGGGAATGACACGTTGTGGCTCTCCAGAGCAGATCTTCTGGCAGGCCTCTGAAACAAGGCAGCACACACCAGCTCAAGCCCAGGCACAGAGTTCCCAAGCTATGTCACTGGCCGAAGAGGTCTGACTGATGTCAGTCTTACACCAGCAGTTCACTGAATGCTGTTCACCAGCCAGGGGATCAGGTACCTGACCAGTCCCATCCTGGCTGGCCCAAACTGTGCTGCTGAAGCCACAGCACTGTGGACTTGTCACAAGGGCAAAGACTTCCTGGAGGATTTAAGCAGAGAGTTAAAAACGTGTCAAGCCTGGCCATGACAGCAAGGTGGAGCAGACTGAGTGGTTTCTCTGTAATCCAGCCTGGTTTGGGCTGGAAGGGACCTTAAAGCTCATCCAGTTCCAAGCCCTGCCACGGGCAGGGACACCTTCCACTAGAGCAGGTTGCCCCAAGCCCCTGTGTCCAACCCGGCCTTGAACACTGCCAGGGATGGGGCAGCCACAGCTTCTCTGGGCACCCTGTGCCAGTGCCTCAGCACCCTTACAGGGAAGAACTTCTGCCTCAGAGCTCATCTCAATCTCCCCTCTGGCAGGTTCAAGCCATTCCCCTTGGCCTGTCCCTACATCCCTTGTCCAAAGCCCCCCTCCAGGTTTCCTGGAGCCCCTTTAGGCACCGGAGCTGCTCTAAGGTGTCCCCTTCAGGAGCCTTCTCTTCTCCAGCTGCCCCAGCCCAGCTCTCTCAGCCTGGCTCCAGAGCAGAGCTGCTCCAGCCCTCACAGCAGCTCCGTGGCCTCCTCTGGCCTTGCTCCAGCAGCTCCATGTCCCTCTTGCGCTGTTCCCCAGAGCTGGATCAGGGCTGCAGGGGGGGTCTCCCCAGAGCACAGCAGAGGGGCAGGATCCCTTCCCTGACCTGCTGCTCACGCTCTGGGAATGCAGCCCAGCACACGGGGGGACTGGGCTCAAGAGCCCACTGGCAGCTTATGTTGAGCTGAAAGCCTCCCAAAGGACTGGAGTCCAGGAGTTCCCAGAAGATGACTCCAAAGACTCATAACCACTATAGGAATACTTCCCTACTACAGACTTTAAGTAACTTTTGCGCATAATCTTTCTTTAAAGTACAAGCAGGGCTGAACAAAGACACTACATGCAAATCTAAATATTTCTTTTATATTTCTTTCTAACGCTCCTGTGTTATAAATCTTTTTAAAACACCGCAGCATCCATTAGCCTAACAGTCAATAACTAATTATAATACTTAAATCTTCATTGAGGTATACTGAGTTATATGTTAATATTTACCTAAATCCATCCCTGGATCAGCTTAGTTCCCCTTTCTGTTCCTCCCCCTCACTTTGCTATGGGATTTGTTGTTGATGCTCCTGTCCATGACCACTATTCTCCAGGCACAGCCTCTCCAACAGAAGCAGCTCATCCTTCCGTCT